TTTTTTTTTTATCCTTTGCTCTTTTTCTATATATCTACAAATTAAAGCTTTTAAAATTAAAGTGATTTTAAACAAAATTAAACCCAACAAATAACCTAGTAAGATGCATGCATGCAAAGTACTCTTAAGTAACACTTATTGGTTTAAATTTGAATATGTGTTAATTAAATATTACAGGTTCTGGACGACAAAGATGGAGTAAAAATCATGAAATGGGTTAGAACAAAAGTGGATTTGGACAAGCACGTTATAGTTGCCGATATTGACTCAAATTATACGGAATCACCAGATAAGTTCCTTGAAGACTACATCTATAACCTCACCAAAACAAGCCTCAACAAGTTGAAACCCATGTGGGATCTCCACATCCTAAACGTGAAAACCTCTAACGCCGAGAGCGTGTTGATTCTTAGGGTTCACCACTCGCTCGGCGACGGAATATCTCTCATGTCTCTTCTCCTCGCCTGCTCCCGCCAAATCGCTAACCCCCAGGCTTTGCCGACACTTCCGACGAAGAAAAACCTAGAAAACAACAATAATCCTAGTTTTATTAGAAGGTTCACCCTGCGCTTCATTGGCCTTTGGTGGCTTCTTCAATTGCTTTGGAATACTATTGTTGACGTCTCTCTATTCATTGCGTCGGCATTTTTCTTGAAAGATACTAAAACCCCTATTCGAGCTCCTCCGGGCTGCGAGTATAATCCCCGACGAATTGTGTTTCGAATCGTTAGCTTGGACGATTTCAAGCTGGTGAAGAATGCCATGAAGTTGGTAATTTGATTAAATATGTTTCTTTTTTCTTTTTTGTTAAACTATGATAGTAAAATTTGCTAAACATTTAGTCCCTACATTTCAGAGCCAAGAGCAGTAGAAACAGCTAGCTCCTAAATCTGAAACGTTTCATTTTTATCTATTTTAAAATATATGCTTTCAAATCTTGAAAACATAAATTGATTATATTATGAGGCTTATCAGACATTAAGAATCAAATACTGCAGCATTTTAACCTCTGATTAAAATCCTACCATGTTCTTGATTGATTTACGTGAAACAATTGAAATGGACAAACAGAAAAATAATCACTATTTTGAATTTAGGGTTAAAAGTACGTAATGAGTCTTTTATTATTTAGTTATATGTTAAGTATAGTTGATCGCGTGTATTATTCATGCATATCTATGGCAGTTTTTTTTTTTTTTTTTTTGGGATATTTACATTTTTATACAAAGTGTTTTAAGCTTATTCAAAATGTATACCTTTGATTTTTAATCTCATCAAATGTATACCTTCAAATTAGATTTAATTTACGTATCTATACCTTATTTCGGTTAATAATTGTCTTTAACCTTTAAAATGACCAAACTGTCCCCAGAAACGAAACTAAAACTTTCCAATATTACAAACAATAAATATTTAAAACATAGAAAAAACATTTTTAAGGTTTTTTAGTTTTTTTTTCTTTTTCTATTTTTTTGTTTAATGGTATTTTAGGTGTTTCTAAGGTTAAAATTAAGAATTAGTTATGGAAAGGTATAAACTTAGATATTAAATCTAATTTGAAGGTATATATTTAATGAGATTAAAAATCGAATGTAAAAGAATAAATCTAAAACACAAGGTATAAAAAGGTAAATATCCTTTTTCTTATGGAATATTATATGGCACCTTTAACTAAATTAGATCATTGGTAACCGGATTTACTAGCACATCTCAAATAGGTTAACACCCGTTAGTAAATTCATCTCACACCAAAATTCTCAGTAAAATAAAAAAATAAAAAAAAAACAAACAAAAGATTAAGCGGGGGATTCATTGTGTGAAATCGAGATTTTTAAAGGTTCATATCTACGTATTAATTATCGAGATTTTTTTTTTTTTTAATATACTAGCTAGTACAATATATTCATGATCACATTTTTTTTTTCTTTGGGTGCTATTACAGACAATAAACGACGTAGCATTGGGAGTTACACAAGCTGGTTTGTCCCGCTATCTTAATAGAAGATACGGTGAGCATCAAACTAAAAACACTCGTTTTCATTATGACACTAGCCACTTATAAGATGTACTATTTAATAGAGAAATAGTAAGAAATAGGCCAATATGAAAAGTTTAAGAAAGTATATAGGTTAACTTTTAATTATAAAAATTAATAGGCCATAACTTGTCAAGTTATGGTTCATAACCAGATAAGTTATGGATAAATTTGTCAAGTTATAGTTCATAACCAAACAAGTTATGGACAAAAATCGGAAATAACTTGTCAAGTTATGGTTTATAACCAGATAAGTTATGGACAAACTTGTCAAGTTATGGTTCATAACCAGATAAGTTATGGATAAATTTGTCAAGTTATAGTTCATAACCAAACAAGTTATGGACAAAAATCGGAAATAACTTGTCAAGTTATGGTTTATAACCAGATAAGTTATGAACAAAAACAGTAATTTGGCCTATTTATTAACTTATGTAAACTATTGGCCTATTAATTTTAATTCATCTCAAGTCTCGGTCTATTTCTCTCTTTCTCCATATTTAATAAAGCAAAGTTAGGCCAACATGGAATATTGTTTCCTGACATATTACAAATTCCTGCTACCACACACCTTAATTTCTTAATGAAAAACACTAGAGGCCCATCATTGTGCGTTTGTTTTATAGATTCAAACATATATACTAATTTTAATTTAAATAGAATTTTTTCTCTTAAAAAAAGATAAATTTATAAAATTATATTATAATGTTTTCTCTCATAAAATTTAAACTGTAATTTAAATCAGTATTTTGAACCCATCTTCCAAACAGACATTAACCTTACTGAAGTACGTAGTATTAGTCATATTGTCAAATAATGACTCAATTTAGTGCAGTGTTCATAAATCACTACGATCTAATTGATTGATATGGTTTGTCTCCTTTCGCCATGGCTCTTTCCCCATTTTTTTTATATTAGTTTTGTATTCATTTATACATTCATTTAAGGATTTTTATTTTTATTTTAAAAAAATATGTGTAAAAATGACAATTGGCAAAAAAATTAAGTATAAACACATTTGAAGAAAATTATTTTTAACAAACTAAAAAATAAATAGGAACACATGCAAAAAAAAAAAAAAAAAAAGTTACTCTCATAGGAGTAAAGTGAGGAACAACATCTTTTTAAAAACACACAAGAAAATTAAAATGTAAAAAAACTCCCAAAAAAAAAATAAAAGAAGTAAATTGAGGGGATACCACGTGACATCCCTACAGAAAAGAGCTTTGACTCTTTTATGTATTGTTAGATGTATAAAAAAATAATAAAAAATAATAAAAAGGCAATAGACAAAAGGGAGAAGAAAAACAAAAAAAAAGTCAAAAAATGGAAAAGCAAAAAAAAAAAAGAGAAAGTAAAAATAAAATAAAATAAAGAAAGAAAGAGGAGACTAATATGTGGCCTTCATAGAGGCTGACATGTGGCCTCCATAGAGGCCAACACATGGCTTTTTAGAAGCTAAATCATTGACTCTTTTAAGTGTGCATAGAAAAATAAAATCGAGTTTGGTAATGTGGTGCGGTCTCTAATGAATACCAATTTAGTTAGAACGTGTTAATATCAATTGTTCTCTTTCTTAGAAAAAAAAATAACATAAATTAAATAGAATCCGCCAAAGCCTGAAAAATGAATGTAATTATTTTTTTATTTGATTTCATGTTAGAACGAGTTTATATCGCATTTGATTGATGAACATATAGGTGAGAATAGGGATGATGGACTAGGGTCGAACGTGCACAGAAACAACCTTCCAAAGAAAATTCGTCTGAGAGCAAATTTACTCGTTAATGTTAGACCATCTCCAGGAATCCAGGTCAGAAGTACATTCCTCTATAATTTCAATTTTGATTGTATTTACATCTACATAATTTGTTTGTCTATATTATTATGTATGTAAATCATCCTCATATTATCAAATGTATAAGTACAGGATCTAGCAGATATGATGGAGAAGAACAGTGAAGCGAAGTGGGGCAATTGGCTTGGTTATGTCTTCGTCCCCTTCACAATTGCTCTAAAAGATGATCCATTGGACTATATTCGCGATGCAAAAGCTACAATTGATCGAAAGAAGCACTCTCTTGAAGCTCTTTGCACTTTCTCCATTTCTGGATTACTTTTCAGTCTTTTTGGCATCAAGGTATATATGCTTGTATATTGAAGTGTGCGTGTGTATGTCTATATATATATATATATATATATATATATATGTATATGTAATATAATTGACAAAATGTTTCCTTCATGCATGCTTAATCAATTCACGTTGCAGTCAACAACTGCTCTACTTCATAGAATTTTCTCCAGCACCACAATGGCTTTCTCCAATGTAGTCGGACCAAGTGAGGAAATTGCTTTTTACAACCACTCAATGACTTACCTAGCTGCAACTACTTACGGCCAACCAAATGTAATTGTACTTTAACATAATGTATAATATTTTTGAGAGTTCATCTTTTGGTAAAATACAAAAAAAAATACTATAGAGTTCTGAACTGTCAGATCTTTATTAAGTTTTGTTTAATTTGTATAATGTTTTCTGATTTAATAGTATAATTCTAATGTGATGTGACGTATAGTATTTTTTTTTTTGAATATGTGCCTACAACAGAACTTTCCTAATTCGGAATCGGTCCACAGTATTGCTTGGTTTTCAAGTACTTCGAGCTACGTAACTGACTTCTAACTCTCGTATTTCAAATATTGCAGGAGTTGATGGTTAACTTTCAAAGTTATGTGAACAAGATGACTATGGTTCTATCAGTGGATGAAACCACCATTCCCGATCCTCTACAACTATGTGATGATATCGCAGAATCACTCAAGCTCATCAAAGATGTTGTTATAGAGAGAGGGCTTGCCAATATTCACTAGTAAAACTACAACGATATATATTTCAAATATGGTTACCACTCACCTTAAAAAGGATTGTGATGTAATGCAAAAGGATCTAGTATTTATGGTGTGTTAGGATCACCCAAAGATTAAATAAGACAAATTTTCAGTTTGCAAAACTTATTTTGGTTAACTTTAAAGGGTGTTTTTTTTTTTTTTTTTTTTTCATTTTTAGTCATTTCGTTTTTGGAATGAGTTGCCATGAGAATTTCATGTTGCCATTTTGATTGTGCTCCCTTATTGCTTTGATCAGATAGATTTTTTTTCTACTTTCCTATGCAAAATTTCTTATATTGGAAAATTTCATTTTTTTATTATTTTTAATTTATATGGTCGTCATTTGATCTAGTTTCCCGTTCGTATTTTGTCCTATAAAATAGATGTGCCCTTTTCTAATGAAAACTACACTTTTTTTAGTTAAATTGAGTTATTACTCGGAATTTTTTCTCTTCCAATTTTCATGTTAGTATTTGTGAATTCTCCTGACACTTTGTGTGAATCTCAACAAGTCAATAGATCTATCCCTTTTCTTTTATTATTGTTTTATTTCTTCTAATATAAGCGGAACTACATCATACTGTCAAAATAGTAGCTGCAAAATTATTCAATGATTGAATATTCAAATAGAAAATATTAATAATGTGTTCATAGGTTGCATTTTGTAAATTCGCTGGAAAGAAAATTATTACTTAATATTAAAACGGGTTATACTTAACATACTATCATGTGTTTGGTGAGATTGGTGTAGTGTTAAAGTGGCTTCGATCAAATCGATCTTTTGTTTATTCTAAAGGTAAGACAAATTAACATTAATGAGACTGAGTTTGGAGTACATGCTACCAGATAATAAAATGTGCATCAATGAAGAAAATCAACTTAAGAGAAGTGGTTAATCTAGTAATAATTAAAGATCTCTAGCCAGTGGATATGTCAAATCAACTTGGAAGGAATATGTCAAATCAACTTGTCAACTTTTAATGCTTATTTACAATACCTGATAATTGTTGCATGTCAATTAATGAAAAACTAAATATCCAAGGGAAAAGAAAATAAGATCCGGCACTTCGAGGATCCTGCTGGTTTCGTAACTTAAATGTACAGTTTTAAGGATAATATTCACCATATCTTCTTTTCTCATTCTTTCAGTTTCCACATTTGTTATCGGTTTTAATAAATTTTGATTTTTTTTCAATACATCTAAGCTAATAGGCTACGAAGAAGCCCAATGTTTTCAATCATTTATCAATTCGAACTTTACGAAGTGATATTTGTTTCTGTCAGAATACCATGTGATTACCATTTGGTTACCACTTAGACAACATGTTAACAAGATTGACCAAGTGTTTTGTTTGTACACGTTTCCTTGGACCTTTGTAAATAATGACAAGGGCAAAACCAGAAATGCCACTCAAGAGGCTATGGCAAACCAATTTAAAATGTCACACGTACATACAAGGAAATAACAACCTACTAACTAAATGAGCTAACTCTAAGACTATTACTATATTCTGTTTTATTCACTTGAACAAGATTGAAGAAGTTAGATTGAAAGAGAAAAAAAAAAACAAAAAACAAAAGAAAAAATATTGTAGCAGAAGTTTAGTTGAAGATGGTTTAGGTCTAAAAAAGTTTGTTAGAATTGTACAATATTATTACTTCATCTGCTGTGAAGAAATAGGCTGAAGGAATCGGATCTTGTCTCTTTTAATAGCGGATAGGATAAGAGAAGATTTACCGTTACCATACGATTATGCGCATCTATTGTAATGCTCGCACCCATAGCTTCGTTCGAGAGGTTCTTGACGTTTAAGGTTAGCTTGAACTTCGGAGAAGGTTTGGGTAATGATTCACCGTATTATGTGAACTATGTAGAACTGCAATTTTTGTCCTCATGAGGGGTAGTATTGGTATCATATACACTAACTGTGAAATTCTTTGCACACTTTTTTTTGTTTTTGTGGCCAATCCAAGAAGAGAAATGTAAGGCATTGGTAGTTACTACTCCACAATCCGGGCCTACAAATATGTCCTCCTTTTGGACTTCTCCATCCAAGAATAGTGATTTAGTCGGCAACGAAATTTAAAATGTAAGAAATGAGTTCAGCAAGATGTAATTCAGCCACAGAGTCGTGATGAGAGTAATTAATTTTCAGCTTGCAATAGGACGTACACTAGTTTGACATTATGCACGTAATTTCGTTTACTATTTTAGCAGGGTGTTCAGAATTTCACAGTGAATTTATTTGCAAAAAAAAAAAAAAAAAAAAAAAAAGGAGGTAAAAGCTCTCGTCAAGGACGGAACAATATTGGACGAAAAAGAAAAGGACACATGTAGAACTGACAATCCGGATAGCGACACGATGACATAACTCGAAACCCGAACGAAGTTAGCTGGTTTGAGTTTACTATAAATGGGTTTAGCTCATAATTGGGTTGACACGATTAACACGATTAATAAATGGGTTGGGTTACGGTTGACCTCCTAACATGAAGTGACATGATTAACTATATGTGACATATGCAATCTAATGATATGTGATATAACATGGTAGTTTATATGACAAATTAAATACAAATAATGTGAATTTAATATTTGTAGAAAATATTTTTAGGTAAAATTCATTTATTTTTTTTTAAAGAAAAAAATTGACCAATAAACATATTAAATATGTCTTAACCGTATTAAATAAGTAATTATTATATTAATTATTTATTCAATATATTAATTTAAATGGATTGACATGATTAACATGATTAATAAATGTGTCGTGTTTAGATTAACATTTTTAACACGTTTAATAAATAGATCTTATTTGAGTTAATATTTTTTTGACACGTATAATAAACGAGTTAATACAAATATGATTCATTAACACGAATGGTCACATTTACACATGGATTTCAAACTTGCCATACCGTGCATAATGGGCTAACTATATTTATACCCCTGTACGTTTTGCAAAATTGCTTGAAAGGCTCCTTGACCTAAACTAAATTACATCAACAAAAGGAACTGTTGAATAATTGAGACATTTAACACATGCCTACGTGGCAGTTCAAGTGGCAGTACACTATGTAACGTGGCAGTTGTTATTTTTCTTGTTTCTTTTTCTGTTTTAGTCAATTTTCTTTAGTCGGTTCGAAGGAGTACTGCTGGTACAACCACTATATAACCGGATTTGGTAAAGTTGTATAGATTAGTTTTTCGGTTTTCTTAGTTCTAGTGAGAGAAAGAGAGAACTGGTTAGAGAGAGAGAGAACGAAAGAACTGGTTAGAGAGAGAGACAGAAAGAACTGGTTAGAGAGAGGGAGATGGAGAGCTGTGATTGTATTCATGGGTTCTGGAGAAGTTCTTGATAGGTTTTGTGTACTGCTGAAACTTGGTTAATAAAAGCATTCAGTTCTTGATTGTCCTGAGTTGAAGAGGCGATCTCAATTTCTCCGTTTGCTGTTCTTGTTCGCACTAGTTGATTTGGGGCTGTGATTGTTTGTTCTGATCTATAGGGATTTTGTCTAAATTCCTGACAGGAACTTTTAAGAAGAAAGGAACAAAGATTTTGAAAATTTCAGTAAATGAAAATTCGAGAGTAATAATAAAATATAAAAGTTAGAGTAGCGTCTTGATTATTCAAAAAAAAAAAAAAAACAATGGGCAAAACTAAAAACGCGAAAGTAAATCCCTCAATCAATTGGAGACGAAATATTAATATATATATATATATATATATTTAGCTAGATACAATTTCGATTCACATTAACCTCCATCTTCTTGTTTTCATATAGGTTTTTCTTTTTCTTTTTTTTTTCAAAAATTCAGATTGAAAATAAGAGTTATTTTGAATCCTAATATGGAAGTTTAATTAAGAGATGAAAATTTACTAGCCTTCTAGAATCCCCACATGAGTGAGCGTGGTGTTTTTTCGTCTTTTTCATCGGAAAATGAAACGGATGCGACAAAATGTAAGAAACTGAAAGTTATGGAGTAAGATAGTTGGAATTTTTAATATTCAAAAGGTCAAATATGAAGGACCCCAAAGTTGAGGAATCAGCAAATTAGTCCTACTGGTTTTCGTGTATATATAGTGCATGTGATTTGCAGTATTCACATTGACAATCAAGTTATGAAAACGACTATACATGTGAAAGTTTTTTTTTTTTTTTTTTCACATTGACAATCATAACTAATTCTAGAAAATCCTTTTTCTATGATTCTTGAACTCACTTAAAGTTTAAGATGTCTAAACAAAAAAAAAAATATATAGAAAAGAATCAGAAAAGCTTAAAATGTAAAGCTGGTTCAGAAACTCATTCATGTTCATTTCAATAAACATATAATACGCAAATTTTTATGTTTAAAACTCACATGCAAACACTTGAATCAACATTCTATTTCGAGTTCATTAAGTTCAAATCAACCAAAAGTCGATCCAAAGTCATAAGACTAACATATTCCTTTAATAATCTATGATGAAGTTAATTCGTAGTGAAGTTGCTTGGATCCATTTTTACTAAATAAAATGGTTTGCGTCGTTATTAATAAAGAATTTGTGGGATCCATTACAGATCCATCAGTTCACAATCATCGATCTACACCACTGCCAATACAAAACTTGGTTGTGGCATTATTTAACAACTTAAAACATTTTTATTATAATATTTTCTCATATAAAAATTTAAAATTATTTTTTTGTTACAATATTTTTCTGACATAAAATTCACTTCTAAACTCAGATTCTCAATTTAAATTGTGAAAAGAACATATCCTATAATTTTTATTTAAAATAAATTATACATGTAAAAAAGGAAAGAAAATAAACAACGATAGATCTTTAAGCAAAAATTACGAAAAAAAATTCAATGACCATCTTGACCGTAGATTAGATAAAAAAATTATTCATTTATTTTTTTATTCCCATGCAAGCCACATGACACGGCCAATATACCTCCTTAATTTTGGTCGACCGAATTGAGAAAATAAATAAATAAATAAAATTTGTTACTTAAAAAGATGAGAAAAATTCCTTTCTCTTCGGTCACCTTAGGCAAAAGGGGTAGTTTTCAAGTATCACAAATAGTGTGTAATCAATTATATATCATAACTTTGTTTATTTATGAGCAAGCATTAGAAAATCATTCTGCGAATATAATATATTTTTAAATAATATGATATGATATGTTTGATTACACATCATTGTAGACATTGAAATTAGACAAATGATTTGAGTGAAAAACTAGACATGAGTCTCTAAACCGGCGAGAAAGAAGGAAGTGAAACCATCCATTTCACTTTTCTTCAAAACCACACCAACCTCAATGCCTCCACTTCCATCCCTAGACTCCGCCATGGAAATAGCTCCGGTTCTGTCTATAGACACAACCTCCACCTTATATGGCTTTCCCCACCCGAAATCGACATCGTAAAAGCCGAGCCTCGGCGACCCCGCCACTGAGATAACGCGCATATTCCCTTTAGCAAACTCCGACTGCCGCTTCGAAAATTTCTCAGCAGCTCCTTCCATCACGTCCTCCTCTAACTTCTTCATCATGTCGCTGACCTTTGCAGCCATTACCGGCAACGCGTCTTGATCAGCTTGAATATCCTTGAAAACCTCCCTCAAATCCTCGTAGCTTCCCGGCATTCCGACGCAATTCCCGAAGTAGTTCTCCGGGACCGGCGGCCTCAGACGGTTCCGATAATCCGCCGCGAATAATAAGTAGACCTTCTGCTTTTTGGTGGCTAACTTTTGATCGTCTTCTGTGGCTTTGAGAATGCCGATAGCCATGTAGGAGAGTGTGAGAGCAAAAGAGGTTAAGTGGAGCTTTTCTGCTTTGTTCCAAGAGGACGATACCTTTTCCCTGAGTTTGGCTCTGTCGGATCGACTTAACTCAAAAGTGGCTCGGACCAAATCTGACGGTACGTCTAGAATCGGCAGAAACTGGAATGGATTTGGGTCTATATGTTTGGTAGATGCCAACCACTGGTTCACGTAAAAGATGCCGAGCCCATCTGGGTCTCTGATGACAGACCGGTCAAAGAAAGGCTTTAGCTGATCCGGCAGTGAACCTGGTTTCTCCGATCTGCAAATATAAGCCCAAGATTTCATGAACATGGCCGTGGATTTCCCGTCAAGAACGGCATGGTGACACGTCACGCCAATGCAAAATCCTCTGTTCGGAAACAAAGTGATTTGCACGGATATCACCGAAGCCCCTGTTTCGGTAACTTTCAGATTCGGAACGAAGGGGTGAAACGACGCCGCTTCGCGGGGATGGTCAGCGGAGAAATAGTCGAAGTCTTTGGCGGAATTGGATTCGGCGACGGTGAGAGAAACGCCATCGTTTGGGGTGTAGAGGATGATGGGCTTTGGGGAATCTCGAGGCCAATTTAGGTTACCGGCGAGAGGGAGGAAGTGTTGGAGAGTTAGAGAGAGAGAGTTTTTGAGTTTTGGGATTGTTGAGTCTAAGAAAGTTTGTTTTGGTTGTGGGAGAGAGTAGAAGAAGAGACGCTCAACCGGAGGGAACTTGAACCAGCAGGTGTCGCAGAAAGTCAGCGGCAGAGAAAAGTCCGAGTGGGAATCGGATGAATCTGCGAAAGGAGGAACACGGGAGACCTCGAGTATTTTGGCCATGGCAATTAGGTGGCAATACTACAATTGGAAAGTCATATATGGGATGATCAATTTATAAATACTGTGGCTTCATCAAATAATTGACCCTCCAACATTAGGGTAATCTTTTTCGGGGTAATATTATAGTTAACTAATAAATATATAACTGGGCAGATGTGAAATGGAAATTAGCTATGTTTACTTACTTTGATATAACTGGTTAGAGTTTGATGCATAATATATAGGAAAGAATAAATTGCATTTTGTCGGTCCAAGAAAAAAAAAAAGAAATACACACACACACATATATATATATATATATATATCACCAAATAATACATGATACTTGATGGGTGTGCCATCTATCTAGAAGTCTTTCCCGAACCATAAAAGACATTTTAAAGCCGCGCCTTATCTTCACAGATTCGGAACTTGCATTTTTTTTTATTTTATTTTTTATTTTAAGCGCCATGCACATTTGCCCCTGAGAGAAATAGTGATGTAGCGTAAAGAGATAATCTTTATATTTAATTCAAAGAGATTATATTTATCTTTAAATTCTAAGTTTAGATAGTCTTTTTTTTCTTTTTAAATTAGAAAAAGATTAATTAGAGATAATTTCTTTTTCGATTTCGAATTGTAGTTCTCTATATATAGGAGGATAGCTTGTTATTTTTATTATTGACATTTGATAATAAAATTTTTAGAGAAGTTTTCTCTCCACTTTGCTTGTTTTTCAGTATTCTTTCGAATCAACGAATTACTCGCCTTCTATTTTCGGTATTCTTTCAAATCAATGGAATAACGTGACACATTTTACGCTTCCGCTAGGTCATTTGGTATCAGAGCCTTGCTACGCTCCTCCGTCATGCCGCGCCGACGTTGCCCACAACCCAGCAACAATTGGGATGAACTCCCTCAAACACTTACCGAATTTCAATATAACATGCAGCAATCCATGCAACAAGCCATTCTCACCGCCCTTCAAGCCAACAACCAGCCACCCGCTCCACCCGTTGTGCCCCCTCCAGATCACGTCCTATTGGAAAATACGGCATCGAGTGTGCAGCGGAATTTTAAAAAATTTAAATAAATGTCAAAGCCAATCAAGAACATGTTCATAATGCTATATAACATAAATACTAAAGGTCTAAATCATACCTTTAGAGATTTAGAAAATAACACGTCTGATAGATTAAAGTGTTCCAAACATCAACCGGAGGAGCCTCAACCAACTGGTCTTCTTTGCTATTCTCGTTTCCACAATCGGAGTGCGGGTGGGCACACGTCGTTCAATCTCCTCTTGGTATTCTTGAACTCCTTCCAACCACAAGAGAGCCAAAGGAAAAATCATTTTTGAGAATTAAAAAAGTTTTCCTCTCAGGAATCTTTTGCCAATAGCCCCTAAAAAGTCTCTTAAGTGATTTAATGAACAATATGACTTAATGGGCTATTTATAGTGTTTAGGAAGTCATATTTTCGTAACAATTAGGTTTCTTAAAATTTATCTCGCTTACAGAGTCAGTTATGCCACGACAGCATGCATTACACGTTACAACCAGTCGATGGGTGACAGAGAAGTTATAATTCACCAGTCGACTTGTCCTTCATAAACCGATCGACCTGTTTAAACACGGGAAAATCGTTTTCCTAATTTTTCAATACGGGAAACTTACACACAGCCTCAGTTATGATTAAACTTAATAGTATCGTATGGCAAGGTTGAGAATACGAATTATATACGCCAGAATCCAGATCATATGACATGTCATTGACCCTTCAACATTAGGATAATCTTTTTCGTGGTAATATTATAATTAACTAATCAATATATATCTGGGCAGATGTGAAATGGAAATGAGCTATGTTTACTTACTTTGATATGTACAAGAATTTTCGCTTCAAATTGTGAACGTATTATCCATGATATTTAGTTGTTTAGTCTTTTAATTAAAGGTATGTAACTCGCCTTATATTGATATTTCACAGAAGAAGAGGTATATTTGAACAGGTTCCTTAACGAATTCATGTCGAATAAAGTGCGAGGGAGACAGGAGAGAGCACATAATTATCATAGATCATACATCATGCATGTTTCTTGTAATATATATGTTGAAATAGATGAATATTTTAAAAGCTTTACCTCAACAAGAACATGTTAGAGAATAGAACATGTTTCTCGTAATATACCGTACTTTTATTAAATGTGGACATTTTAACCTCAACATCAAAGCTCTAAAGGAGAGTCTTACCCTTGAAGATTAATCGATAGTTCGGTTTTCTTTAAGCTCAAACTTATAGCTTTAAGGGTGAGGATATGACTAGTCTTGGATGGATGCACTTGAGGAATAATATTGAAGACAAAACTCAAGAAAATTCGTGTTAGTTGCTGCTCATAGAAGAAAATATCTTAGGACATAATGATTGAAAGGACGACCTCACCAAAACCTAACTCTATGTTAAAGAAGCTTAAACCTTCTTCTCGGATTCCATTTTGATAGCAACTTTGGAAGGATTTTTGGGCTACCAATGTTTAAAACAAGGGAAAAAGTAAGGGTTTGCTTCCTCTATGGATTAGGAAGAGAAAGGATGGAGAAATTTCAAGTTTGGAGGTGTGGAAGGTGGTTTTTTTTTGTAAGGGGTTGAGGAGAGAGTGAGAGAGATAAAAGAGAGCTGATTTTGGACTCTAAAATCTGATATCGTCTATTTTTAGTTGATACCTTCTTTCCTCTCTTTCTTTATTTTTCTTTTTCTTTTAGCTAAGCTAAAATCTTATTGGTGTTTTGGGTGGTGAACTCTTGACAACCAACCAGAAACTTTTAGAAATCCATCATCTCTTCTAATTCAATCCCAAATATTTTTAAAATCATGCTCTGGAACCCATGTTTTCAAAAAGAATTATGTCTTAGGTTCCGTATTTGTTAAAATTATAAATTTGGCCCCGAATTATATTTTTATAAAAGTTTCCTCCTTAACTAATTTCAATGCTCTGATTAAAAATTCAATGCTAGAAATTCCATCAAAAATTTTACTTCGTTATCTCTCACGTAAAAACAATTTATACCACCACTTTCACGTTGGTCTGGTACCATAATGGTGTTTCATGATCTTCACTAGATTATTTAAAAATTTGACAAACTCGCAATTTCTCAAATCTCTAAAGGCTCAAAATTAATTATTTCTTATTATTGTACATCGTATAATATCATAAGCTAATTATCGAAATAATCGAGTAATCACAAATTCGTTGACCATTAACTTAAATAAGGAATCTCAATAATTCCTTATCATACATGAAACATATTCATAAACATAAGGTTTAGGGTGTTACATAGTTGCTTTATCATTTCATTATTAAAGCGAGTGGTTATGCATATCTATACTTAAGTTGTTATGGATCAATTTCAACGGTTGAACTGCCAACTGTAGCGTCAATTATATGCCTGCAATTGTGGAATACAAAAGTCCTGTTCTATCTACTTCACCTACTACGCATTTATGATTCAAATGTATATTGATTTTTCTAAAAAGAACTTGGCTATAAATATTTTCTGCTGAAATGGCCTCCCAATTTGCTTTTTGACTTGTGTTTAATTTAAAGACCACACCTATACCCGTCTCTTTTTATCAGTTTTTGATAGAAAATCTAATAAGTTCAGTTAAATGAGACACATTCAAAAGTTAAAGATAAAGCGAAAGTTTTTACAGTTTGTGCAGTAAAATGGGAATGACCATAAAGTTTAGAGGGCAAAGGTAAGACTGACACTTAATCTAATTACATCTTATGTTGACTTGGGTTTATTTTGTGGTATTATATGTTACAAAAATCAACATTATAGGTACTACCTTGGCCAACCGGAGAAGATCTTGGTTTCAATTAATGTCATTCTACCCCCAACTCCTTTTGAATGAACTTCGTAATCAGAAAGAGCAATAGTAGGGAAGAAGTATAGTGGGGGCAACATTAATTAAGATTTTAGATAGATTGGACTACACTAATTCTTGGGGGGTAAAAATTCGGAGCTACTAAGCTTGAAGCAATTTTTAAAAACTATAGGTTACTTGAATATTACACACAATCATATACATCAATTATATATAAAGTAAATGATAAATTTGTGTTGGAATGAGAGCGGGGAAAAAACTGATCTATTAATAGTATTGAAATTGAAAGTTGTTACTTCAACGGTCTAGGGAATAAGAAAATGCAAAACAACGGTTTAGTTTGAAGAACTCCGAGCTTGAGGTGATTTTTGTATAACTGCTAAGCTAGTCACATTTTCGATGAGGTAATTCTGAATTTCTAACTAGTTAAATGCTCAAACGCCTTTGTCGCGACTCTGAAGACTTTTAAGACAAAGGTAAAGCAACCGGTATCTAATCCCTAAAATGAAGAACGACAGCATCCATATTGGCGTGCTAAGTGTATAAGCTGAAACTTAGGGTAAGCCCAAAATTAATTAATGAAATGAGATATTGTCTCCCCAGGTGTAAATAAACAACAAAATTCATCTCTGAATTCCCGTGGCAAATTTTCATTATCCGTGAATTTTTAAGTGACAACAAATGTCGTTGCTATATGTCAAAATTTATGTCCAGGACTTTTAGCCACAACATTCATCATTGGTAAAAGGACGTTTTTTTTTTTTAATTTAAAATTCAATTCGACTTTTAACAACAACAAATGTTGTCGCTAAAAGATCCATGCTTCCGACCCTAAAGCTTTTCTATTTGTCCCGTCTTCTTCATTTTTAACTTATATTCTTCCCATCTCCCTACCACCGCCTCAATCCAGGGCTTTGCCACTGCCCCCTTCCACCACCCCTCTCTCATCAACAATGTGCTCCCTGAAGTCTATTTGTTTTTTATTCCCCTTTTTTTAAAAAAAAAAAAAAAACAATTAACTCAATGAATTTAGAAACACATAGCAATTAGGAGTACGTACACCCTCTAAACCCAAAATTAATTAATCAAATGAGATATTGTCTCCTCAGGTATAAATCAACAACAAAATTCATCTCTGAATCTCGTGGTAAATTTTCATTATCCGTGAATTGTTTAGTGACAACAAATGTCATTGCTACATGTCAAAATTTCTGTCCATGACTTTTAGCCACAACATTTATCATTGATAAAAGGACGTTTTTTTTTTTAATTTAAAATTCCATTCGGATTTTAACAACGACAAATGTTGTCGCTAAAAGATCCATGCTTCCGATCCTAAAGCTTTTCTATTTGTCCCATCTTCTTCGTTATTAACTTATATTCTTCCCATCTCCCTACCACCGCCTCAATCCAGGGCTTTGCCACTGCCCCCTTCCACCACCCTTCTCTCATCAACAATGTGCTCCCTGAAGTCTATTTGTTTTTTTTTTACCTTTTTTTTTTACAATTAACTCATTGAATTTAGAAACACATGGAAATTAACAGTACGTACACCCTAATTGGTTGTGGATTTTTCTTTTACTGACATTAACATTTGAAGTTCACATGAATCGTTAATCACTTCGCTTGTTCATGTCTTTAACTAACGACCCATGTACACGTATTAATTTATACATCAATTAGGATATTTTTGCCAAATAGTTCTAAATTCAAAGCGTAATTTTGAAATTCTTCGACAAAGATATGTGGGGAAAAAAAAAATCATCCTGAGCTGCTTCAAGAATATCATCACCAACAATATCCCAACAATGCTATGAGAACGAAATTATGGCCGAGTCTCAGGCTATGGCTGTATCACAACCCAATTAATACGAATATGCGTGAAATTGTGTCTTATATTCTTCCAACGATGAAGAATGAAGAAGTGGCACTCTCTTAACTATAATATCAATAATTTAGAGACACACATATTCGTGACAATTTCATTTTCCGTCCAAAATTTGTGATCATATAGACAATTTCATTTTTACACAACAACTCACATATTCGAATGGCGTGTCATACGTTCAGCTCGTTCGAACTACAATGCTATTGGTCCGCATCATTCATTATAGACGGCATGTATTGGTTGCGCGCATTAATTTGTGTTTTGTATAGTCCTATGGGCCAGAAAAATAAAGTCATATCTACTTTCAGAAGAAAAAGAAAAGGACATATCATCTACAGACAAGAACATAAAATAAATTGAATGAATCACCATCCTACCTAGGATATATGTAACATATTTACTAACAAGGGTTGGCCATTGAAAAATACTTATAATTCGAAAGACTAGCAATATCTTTAACTGAAAGGTTAGGACAAACATATAAATAAATATACATACATATATATATATATATATACACACTTTTTACGGACTCAAATACAATGAAGTATAGTAAAGTGTTAAAAAGAATTTCAAACTTCTTAGATGACACGACATAATATTATTAGTAAGTCACCATTAATTTAAGCATCAAAATTTAAATAAGTATTAATCTAAATTCGTTTTTATATAGACGTAAGAACGGACTAGTCCGGCTCGACCTAGCCATTCTCCGAAGGCCCCACACAAGTCATGGGTCTGGTCAGGTCGGCCCGTGTGCCGAGGTATGTCAGTCCAATAGCATTGATGGGCTAAGCCCGCGTGCTTTAAACAGTGTCATGTCTCATCTAATCCTCTTTGGTAGAAATGCTATCACAAAACAGACCGACTACATAAAAAACACACGGAAAAATATCAAACGACCACACCTATATCCGCCTTTTTTTATTAGTTTTTCATAGAAATTCTAATAAGTTCGGTTAAATGGGACTAATTCAAAATTTAAGGATAAAGCAAAATTTTTTAAAGTTTGTATGACCATAAAGTTTAGAGGGCAGAAGTAAGACTAACACTTAATCTAATTACGTCTTCTGCTGACTTGGGTTTATTTTGTGGTATTATATGTTACAAAAATCAACATTATAGGTACTATCTTGGCCAACCGGAGAAGATCTTGGTTTCAATGTCATTCTACCCCCAACCTTTTGAATGAACTTCGTAATCAGAAAGAGCTACAGCAGAAAAGAAGTATAGTGGGGCAACAATAATTAAGATTTTAGATAGATTGGACTACACTAATACTTGGGGGGTAAAAGTTATGAGCTACTGAGCTTGAAGCAATTTTTAAAAACTATAGGTTACTTGAATATTACACACAATTATACACATCAATTATATATAAAGTAAATGATAAATTTGTGTTGGAATGTGAGGGGGGAAAAAACTGATCTATTAATAGTATTGAAATTGAAAGTTGTTACTTCAACGGTCTAGGCAATAAGAAAATGCAAAACAAGTACAGTTTAGTTTGAAGAACTCCGAGCTTGAGGTGATTTTTGTATAAGTGCTAAGCTAGTCACATTTTCGATGACGTAATTCTGAATTTCTAACTAGTTATATGCTCAAAAGCCTTTGTCGCGACTCTGAAGACTTTTAAGACAAAGGTAAAGCAACCGGTATCAAATCCCTAAAATGAAGGACGACAGTATCCATATTGGCATGCTAAGTGTATAAGCTGAAACTTAGGGTAAGCCCAAAATTAATTAATCAAATGAGATATTGTCTCCCCAAGTGTAAATAAACAACAAAATTCATCTATGAATTCCCGTGGCAAATGTTCATTATCCGTGAATTTTTTAGTGACAACAAATGTCGTCGCTATATGTCAAAGTTTATGTCGATGACTTTTAGCCACAACATTTATCATTGGTAAAATGATGTTCTTTTAATTTAAAATTTCATTCTACTTTTAACAACGACAAATGTTGTCGCTAAAAAATCCATGCTTCCAACCCTAAAGCTTTTCTATTTGTCCCATCTTCTTCGTTTTTAACTTATATTCTTCCCATCTTCCTACCACCGCCTCAATCCAGGGCTTTGCCACTGTCCCCTTCCACCACCCCTTTCTCATCAACAATGTACTCCCTGAAGTCTATTTGTTTTTTTTCTTTTCATTTTTTTTTTTTTTACAATTAACTCATTGAATTTAGAAACACATAGCAATTAAGAGTACGTACACCCTAATTGGCTTTGAAGTTCACATGAATCGTTAATCACTTTGCTTATTCATGTCTTGAACTAACGACTCAAGTACAAGTCACGTATTAATTTATACATCAATTAGGATATTTCTGCTAAATATTTCTAACTTCAAAACGTAATTTTGAAATTCTTCGATAATGATATGTGGGAAAAAAAAAAATCATCCTGAGCTGCTTTAAGAATATCATCACCAACAATATCCCAACAATGCTATGACAACGAAATTATGGCCAAGTCTCAGGCTATGGCTGTATCACAACCCAATTAATACGAATATGCTTGAAATTGTGTCTTATATTCTTCCAACGATGATGAATGAAGAAGTGGCACTCTCTTAACTATAATATCAATAATTTGTCGTTAATATAGAGAGAGACACACAGACACATATTCGTGACAATTTCATTTTCCGTCCAAAATTTGTGATCATATAGACAATTTCATTTTTACATAACAACTCACATATTCGAATGGCGTGTCATACGTTCAGCTCGTTCGAACTACTATGCTGTCTGTTCGCATCATTCATTATAGACGGCATGTGTTGGTTGCGCGCATTAATTTGTGTTTTGTATAGTCCTATGGACCAGAAAAATAAGGTCATATCTACTTTCAGAAGAAACAAAAATGGTCATATCATCTACAGGCAAGAACATAAAATAAATTGAATGAATCACCGTCCTAAGGGTTGGCCATTGAAAATTACTTATAATTCGAAAGACTAGCAATATCTTATAGGTTAGGACTAACATCATGGTGTCCCAATAAATAAATAAATAAATATATATATATATATACACTTTTGACGGACTCAATTACAATGAAGTATAGTAAAGTGTTAAAAAGAATTTCATACTTCTTAGATTATGCGACATAATATTATTAGTAAATCATCATTAATTTAAGCATCAAAATTTAAATAAGTACTAATCTAAATTCATTTTTATACAGACGTAAAAACGGACCAGTCTGGCTCGACCTGGCCATTCTCCGAAGGCCCCATGCAAGTCATGGGTCAGGTCTGGTCGGCCCATGTGCCGAGGTATGTCAACCCATTAGCATTGATGGGCTAAGCCCGCGTGCTTTAAACAGTGCCATATCTTACCATGCCGCTTTAATACTATATTAAGATAGGTTTGGGCCAGCCCATGGGCTCCGACCCGTAGTTACATCTCTCTGTTCTTTGCCTATCTTGTCTGCTATCTAATTACGTTTACTATATTGAGACCTTATAAATATATTAGCTGAGACCATTGATTTTATATCGGTTGGCATCATTGATTATAAAGATTGCATGTGTTAGTTGGGTGCATTAATGATTACTTTTAATAATTACTCAACTATATATAGAGCTACTAATAATATGTAAGGCCAAACTCCTCGGTATAAGGTTGATTGGAAATACTTAAAAATTAAGGTGGGAGTTACACAAGCTGGTTTGTCCCGCTATCTTAATAGAAGATACGGTGAGCATCAAACTAAAAACACTCGTTTTCATTATGACACTAACCACTTATAAGATGTACTATTTAATAAAGCAAAGTTAGGCCCACATGGAATATTGTTTCCTGACATATTACAAATTCCTGCTACCACACACCTTAATTTCTTAATGAAAAACACTACAGGCCTATCACTGTGCGTTTGTTTTATAGATTCAAACATATATACTCATTTTAATTTAAATAGTATTTTTTCTCATAAAAAAAGATAAATTTATAAAATTATATTATAATGTTTTCTCTCATAAAATTTAAACTGTAATTTAAATCAGTATTTTGAACCCATCTTCCAAACAGACATTAAGCTTACTGTACTACGTAGTATTAGTCATATTGTCAAATAATGACTCAATTTAGTGCAGTGTTCATAATCACTAGGATCTAATTGATTGATATGGTTTGTCTCCTTTCGCCATGGCTCTTTCCCCATTTTTTTTATATTAGTTTTGTATTCATTTATACATTCATTTAAGGATTTTTATTTTTATTTTAAAAAAATATGTGTAAAAATAACAATTGACAAAAAAAATTAAGTATGAACACATTTGAAGAAAAATATTTTTAACAAACTAAAAAATAAATAGGAACACATGCAAAAAAAAAAGTTACTCTCGTAGGAGCAAAGTGAGGAACAATATCTTTTTAAAAACACACAAGAAAATTAAAATGTAAAAAAACTCACAAAAAAAAAAGAATAAAAGAAGTAAATAGAGGAGATACCACGTGACATCCCTATAGAAAATAGCTTTGACTCTTTTATGTATTGTTAGATGTATAAAAATAATAAAAAGGCAATAGACAAAAGGGAGAAGAAAAACAAAAGAAAGAAGTCAAAAAATGGAAAAGGAAAAAAAAAAGAGAGAAAGTAAAAATAAAATAAAATAAAGAAAGAAAGAGTAGGCTAATATGTGGCCTTCATAGAGGCTGACATGTGGCCTCCATAGAGGCCAACACATGGCTTTTTTAGAAGCTAAATCATTGACTCTTTTAAGTATGCATAGAAAAATAATATGGAGTGGTGAGTTTGGTATGTGGTGCGGTCTCTATTGAATACCAATTTAGTTAGAACGTGTTAATATCAATTGTTCTTTTTTTTAGAAAACAATAACATAAATAAAATAGAATCCGCCAAAGCCTGAAAAATGATTGTAATTATTTTTTTATTTGATTTCATGTTAGAACGATTTTATATTGCATTTGATTGATGAACATATAGGTGAGAATAGGGATGATGGACTAGGGTCGAACGTGCACAGAAACAACCTTCCAAAGAAAATTCGTCTGAGAGTAAATTTACTCGTTAATGTTAGACCATCTCCAGGAATTCAGGTCAGAAGTACATTCCTCTATACTTTCAATTTTGATTGTATTTACATCTACATAATTTGTTTGTCTATATTATTATGTATGTAAATCATCCTCATATTATCAAATGTATAAGTACAGGATCTAGCAGATATGATGGAGAAGAACAGTGAAGCAAAGTGGGGCAATTGGCTTGGTTATGTCTTCGTCCCCTTCACAATTGCTCTAAAAGATGATCCATTGGACTATATTCGCGATGCAAAAGCTACAATTGATCGAAAGAAGCACTCTCTTGAAGCTCTTTGCACTTTCTCCATTTCTGGATTACTTTTCAGTCTTTTTGGCATCAAGGTATATATATATATATATATATTTGTATATGTAATATAATTGACAAAAGTTTTCCTTCATTCATGCTTAATTATTTCATGTTGCAGTCAACAACTGCTCTACTTCATAGAATTCTCTCCAGCACCACAATGGCTTTCTCCAATGTAGTCGGACCAAGTGAGGAAATTGCTTTTTACAACCACTCAATGACTTACCTAGCTGCAACTACTTACGGCCAACCAAATGTAATTTTACTCTTAAGATAATGTATAATATTTTTGAGAGTTCATCTTTTGGTAAAATACAAAAAAAAATACTATAGAGTTCTGAACTGTCAGATCTTTATTAAGTTTTGTTTAATTTGCATAATATTTTCTGATTTAGTAGTATAATTCTAATGTGATGTGACGTATAGTATTTTTTTTGTATACGTGCCTACAACAGAACTTTCCTAATTCAGAATCGATCCACAGTATTGCTTGGTTTTCAAGTACTTCGAGCTACGTAACTGACTTCTAACTCTCGTATTTCAAATATTGCATGAGTTGATGGTTAACTTTCAAAGTTATGTGAACAAGATGACTATGGTTCTATCAGTGGATGAAACCACCATTCCCGATCCTCAACAACTATGTGATGATATCGCAGAATCACTCAAGCTCATCAAAGATGTTGTTATAGAGAGAGGGCTTGCCAATATTCACTAGTAAAACTACAACGATATATATTTCAAATATGGTTACCACTCACCTTAAAAGGATTGTGATGTAATTCAGAATGATTTAATATTTATGGTGCGTTAGGATCACCCAAAGATTAAATAAGTCAAATTTTCAGTTTGCAGAACTTATTTTGGTTAACTTTAAAGGGTGTTTTTTTTTTTCCATTTTTAGTCATTTCGTTTTTGGAATGAGTTGCCATAAGAATTTCATATTGCCATTTTGATTGTGCTTCCTTATTCCTTTGATAAGATAGATTTTTTTTTTCTACTTTCCTATTCAAAATTTCTTATATTGGAAAATTTCGTATTTTATTATTTTTAATTTATATGGTCATCATTTGATCTAGTTTCCCATTCGTATTTTTGTCCTATAAAATATGTGTCATTTTCTAATATAAACTACACTCTGTTGAGTTAAATTGAGTTATTACTCGGAATTTTTTCTCTTCCAATTTTCACTGTTAGTATTTGTGAATTCTCCTGACACCCTGTGTGAATCAACAAGTCAATAGATCTATCCCTTTTCTTTTATTATTGTTTTACTGCTTCTAATGGAACTACATCATACTGTCAAAATAGTAGCTGCAAAATTATTCAATGATTGAATATTCAAATAGAAAATATTAATAATGTGTTCATAGGTTGCATTTTGTAAATTCGCTGGAAAGAAAATTATTACTTAATATTAAAATGGATTATACTTAACATGCTATCATGTGTTTGGTGAGATTGGTGTAGTGTCAAAGTGGCTTCGATCAAATCGATCTTTTGTTTATTCTAAAGGTAAGACAAATTAACATTAATGAGACTTGAGTTTGGAGTACATGCTACCAGATAATAAATTGTGCATCAATGAAGAAAATCATGATTAGTATGATATATTCCAAAGTAAAAGGAGACTAACTCAAATTAAGAGAAGTGGTTAATCTAGTAATAATTAAAGAGCTCTAGCCAGTGGATACTAAAAGGACTACTAAGTTTAACTTGGAAGGAATATGTCAAACCATCTTGTCAATTTTTAATGCTTATTTACAATACCTGATAATTGTTGCATGTCAATTAACGAAAAACTAAACATCCAAGGGAAAAGAAAATAAGATCCGGCACTTCGAGAGGATCCTGCTGGTTTCCTAAATTAAATGTACAGTTTTAAGGATAATATTCACCATATCTTCTTTTCTCATTCTTTCAGTTTCCACATTTGTTATCGGTTTTAATAAATTTTTATTTTTTTTCAATACATCTAAGCTATAATAGGCTACGAAGAAGCCCAATGTTTTCAATCATTTATCAATTCGAACTTCACGAAGTGATATTTGTTTCTGTCAGAATACCATGTGATTACCACTTGGTTACCACTTAGATAACATGTCAACAAGATTGACCAAGCGTTTTGTTTGTACACGTTTCCTTGGACCTTTGTAAATAAAGACAAGGGAAAAACCAGAAATGCCACTCAAGAGGGTATGGCAAACCAATTTACAAAGTCACACGTGCATACAAGGAAATAACAACCTACTAACCTGACTCTAGGACTATTACTATATTCTGACTTATTCACTTGAACAAGATTGAAGAAGTTAGATTGAAAGAGAAAAAACAAAAACAAAAACCAAAAGAAAAAATATTGTAGCAAAAAAACAACAACCAAAAGAAGTTAGGTCTAGTCTCTCTAATTCGCAATAGGTGTGTATGCTTCCCTAAGGCGAGAGCATTTAGAAAAAATAAAAATAAAAAAAAATAAAAAATGAAGTTAGAATTGGATAATGTTATTACTTCATCCGCTGTGAATGAATGGGCTGAAGGAATTGTATCTTGTCGTTTTTAATAGCGGATAGGATAAGAGAAGATTTACAGTTATCAGACGATTATGCGCATCTATTGTAATGCTCGCACCCATATCTTGGTTGGAGAGGTTCTTGACGTTTAAGGTTAGCTTGAACTTTGGAGAAGGTTTGGGTAATGATTCACCGTATTATGTGAACTATGTAGAACTGCAATTTTTGTCCTCATGAGGGGTAGTATTGGTATCATATACACTAACTGTGAAATTCTTTGCACACATTTTTTTGTTTTTGTGGCCAATCCAAGAAGAGAAATGTAAGGCATTGGTAGTTACTACTCGACACTCCGGGCCTACAAATATGTCCTCTTTTTGACTTCTCCATCCAAGAATAGTGATTTAGTCGGCAAGGAAATTTAAAATGTGAGAATAATGCGCATGAGTTCTGGAAGATGTAATTCAGCCACACAGTCGTGATGAGAGTAATTAATTTTCAGCTTGCAATAGGACGTACACTGGTGTTCAGAATTTCACAATGAATTTATTTGCAAAAAAAAAAAAAAAGGAGGTAAAAGCTCTCGCCGGGAAAAAATTTCTACTTGTAAAACGCTTTGAGTTGTTTAGGAGGAATAAATGATAAAATACGTGGTTTTGGAAGAAGAGAAACATTTTTGTTTTCCAATTAACTCACGTGACAATATATATATAGCACCAACCGACTATTGATGGTAAACGTTCTGGAGTTTCAAAATCTTTCACTAATGTATGTTTGGTAGAGCAGAACATTAGGAAAGAAAAGAGTGAATGTGTTTTTTTAAGAGAATAGAATTTTTTGGACGGAACAGAATATTGGACGAAAAAGAAAAGGACACATGTAGGGTTGATAATTCGAATAGCGATACGACGACACAATTTGAAACCCACATGAAGTTAGTGGGTTTAAGTTTACTATAAATAGGTTTAAGTCATAATTAGGTTGACACGATTAACACGATTAATAAATGGGTTGGGTTAAGATTGACATCCTAACACGAAGTGACACGAATTGACACGATTAATTATATGTGTTATCTGCAATCTAATGATATGTTATATAACATAGAAGTTTATATGACAAATTAAATACAAATAATGTGAATTTAATATTTGTAGGTAAATTCATTTATTTTTTTTTTAAAAAAAAGGTAAATTGACCAATAAACATGTTAAATCTGTCTTGACCGTATTAAATAAGTTATTATTATATTAGTTATTTATTCAATATATTAATTTAAACGAATTGACACGATTAATAAATGAATCGTGTTTTGGGTTAACATTTTTGACGTGTTTAATAAACAGATTGTGTTATCACCTTTACACATGGGTTTCACTATTTTTTATTCTTTCAAAAGTAGAGAGATTTTAAGATGGAAAACTTGTTATACCACGCATAATGGGCTAACTATATTTATACCCCTGTACGTTTTGCAAAATTGCTGAAGAGACTCCTTGACCTAAACAAATTACATCAACAAAGGGAAGTGTTGAATAATTGAGACATTTAACACATGCCTACGTGGCACTTCAAGTGGCAGTACACTATGTAACGTGGCAGTTTGTTATTTTTCTTGTTTCTTTTTCTGTTTTAGTCAATTTTCTTTAGTCGGTTAGAAGGAGTACTGCTGGTACAACTAATATATAGGCTCGGTTCTTTTTTAAAGTGTTTTTTAAAAAATTTTTAAAGAATCTACGGTTAAAATTAAAAACAATTTAAGAGTAATTTTAATTTTTAAATTAGACGAGAATCAACATATATAATTAATAAAATTTTTATAATATTTATAATATTCTTAATAAAATTTATACAATAATAATTAATATAATTAAATATTAATATAATTTTATAATTCTAATATTATTATCTATTGTATTAGACACGTTATAGTTATATAATATATTTATTTAATATAATATAATGATGATTATATATTATATTATATTATAATTAACATTTTTAATTATTTCAGTTATTATTTTAATAATATTATTATATTTTATATTATGATTATATAATATATTATATAATAATACTTTTTGGTATTATATTAAATATAATAATAAATATATATTATATTATAATTATATATATTATATTGTAGTATAATATAATATAAGTCGTAATTTTTAACTATTCATAATAATTTAACTTTATAATTTATCAAACGTTATTACATTAATTTTAGAATCAATATAGTTATTATAATTATAATTTACTAAACACTCAGTTATTTTTTGTAACAGCTCAGCACAATTAAAAATAATTTTTTTAGAATTTAAAACAATACCAAACTAAGCCATAACCGGATTTGGTAAAGTTGTATAAGTTTTTCGCCTTAAAGAAACAACTGGTTAGTGAGAGAAAGAAAGAACTGGTTAGAAAGAGAGAGAGAAAGCAAGAGAGAGCTGGAGAGCTATGATTGTATTCATGGGTTCTGGAGAAGTTCTTGATCTTGGTTTTGTGTACTGCTGAAACTTGGTTAATAAAAGCATTCAGTTCTTGATTGTCCTGAGTTGAAGAGGCGATCTCAATTTCTCTGTTTGTTGTTCTTGTTCGCACTAGTTGATTTGGGGCTGTGATTGTTTGTTCTGATCTAGAGGGATTTTGTCTAAATTCATGACAGGAACTTTTAAGAACAAAGGAACAAAGATTTTGATAATTTCAGTACAACCTCGTTTATTTCACCAATTCAAGTTTTTAATTTTAAATTTTTACAGTTAAAAACTCTAAAAAAATGTCACATTTAACTTTTTCTGCTACAGTTAAAAGCTCTCAAAAAATGTTACATCTCAACTTAAATTGTAAACTCGAATTCGCAAAACGAACGAGACACATTTGCTCCTCTACTTTTCAAAATAATAAAAATTCGAGAGTAATAAAAAAAAATAAAAGTTAGAGTAGCATCTTTATTATTCAAAAAAAAAAAAAAAAAAACAATGGGCAAAACTAAAACCGCGAAAGTAAATCCCTCAATCAATAGGAGACGAAATATTAATATATATATATATATATATATTTAGCTAGATACAATTTTGATTCACATTCACCTCCATCTTCTTGTTTTCATATCGGTCTTTCTTTTTTTTTTTTTTCAAAAATTCAGATTGAAAATAAGAGTTATTTTGAATCCTAATATGGAAGTTTAATTAAGAGATGAAAATATACTAGCCTTCTAGAATCCCCACATGAGTGAGCATGGT